TGACACCTCAATCAAGATACCACTGAAAAATGACAACATCTGTACAAGCTGAATAGCAGCAAGCCCTTTCATCAACAGCATTTTTCCCCCTTGGAGAAGATTTTTTTTTTTTTTAATTGCCAACCACAGTCGACTTGACACATACATTCCATGTAAAGATGCAGGAGATTTACTCTTTTGTTTCCTCAACTTGACCACTCTTTTCTAATATCAACAAGGGAACAGAAGGCCTGTGCACACAGGGAACAGCATGGCATGATCCTCATTGTGATTCTTTCACTGTAATTGCAGGTAGACACAAGATAGACGAAGAAAGGTATGTACTGTGAAGTCACTTACTTGGCAATAAATCATTTAGATGATGAGATAGATGAAACTGTCTTTGTGGCTTTAGTGTGTAGAGCTACCCAGATTCCAGCTTCCTTCTGTGGATGGGGATTGTGGAAGTTGTGGTAGAAATTAATTGTTCAGATAAAGAACCATAGTCATTCTCTGTAGTCCTGGGAGTGAGGATATGTGCATGGGAGTGGGGTGTGTCTATGTGTGAATCCATGTGGTTTGATTCTGATGATGCCTGTGACTGAGGTTTTGTGTCTTTCTTTCTGAAAGATATTTGTTCCCTTAGCTGCCAGTGTCAATGTTCTCAATCAAAAATGCTGTCACTGTTGGAACGTGAATATATATAGAAGAAAATGAATCAAATTATAAACTTTATATGTATATTGATTGCTACATATACTTGAATGGACATGGGCAAATATCCCATCAACTCCCAAGACTGTTCACAAGGCCCTAAATGGACAAAGCTGGTTCCTAGTCTCTGTTGTTGGATTAGTAACATATTATCATAAATCTTACCTATCAGCCTCATCCACATGGCATTTCATTGGTCATTCAGTCTTGACACTTTTCTCACTCACTTTCCTGTGAAAGGCCTTAAAATTCATTCCCAGAATCCATCTTAGTATGGTGTTCTGGGTAGTGTTCCTTTGCAGTGAGTCCCTAGTATAGCTGTTCATGTGCCACATCCAGTAATGGCAGGAAAATGAGGTTGGAAGAGAATGAGGAAGAAAGTTCACTGCAATTTTCTCCATGTAGATCTCATATTTACCTTCAGATAATGCTGCCAGGACTAGGCAATGCCATATGCATGTGAAATCTGTCTCCTATCACTTATCCTGGTCATGGTTTCTATATACTGTCCAGAAACACTGTAAACTGAACAGAGAAACAAGAGTTTTGCTGGAGGGACTGAGCATCAGGGTGAGCATGTGGCTTTCTTTTTAAGAGGCTCAGGGAGAAGACATCCATTTAAGTAAGAAAGAAACCAATGCAGCCTTGGGACAGGAGAATCTCCATAATATGCCTGTTGAACATACAAGTTGAAATAGTTCTTTGTTGCTTCTGTAGGCCTTTGTGTGGAAACAAGACAAGGTAGTTATTTTAAAACAACAACAACAACAAAAAAAAAAAAAACAACATAAAATGACCCATTTTTTTTATGGGAGTTCACCTCTACAACATGTTTTCTGTGTCAATACATTTTATTTTAATAAACTTTGATCACACTGTGGGTGAGAATATTTCCCCCACAGAACAGCATGCCACTTGTTTAACCCAGAAACTATGTGCTTGAGACAAGATTGTCCTAAAAAGCTTAAATCTCCAGGTCACAGTTTCCCAAGAATTCTGAAGGAGACTCAGCTATGTGAATTTGGAGATAAAACTCAAAAGTGGCTCCAGGAATTCATGGAGAGCTGTTAAGTAGGCTCCATGAAGAACAGTAGGGCAAAGCCCTGGGATGGCGCTTGGGATGGAACAAGAGTTAGGGAGCAGGAGAAAGACAGTAGGGCAAAGCCACAGGATGGGAGGTAGATTTCAAGGTTGCAGATCAACATCATCAACTGAGCAAGTTAAGGATGTTTAGGCGCCTTATGAGTGGGAATGAACAAGTGACATGATCACTGTCTAGCTCTCTCCTAACATCCTGGAATTTTTTCTCACTCTAGTCAAAAAGGCAATCATCAAGAATACAATAATAATAAGTGCTGAGGATGTGGAGGAAAAGGTACATTGTTGGTGGCACTGCAAATTAGTAGAACCACTGTTGAAAGCAGTATTGAGGCTCCTCTAAAAATTAGGAATGGAATCACCATAGGACCCTGCTATCTCTCTTTAAAATTTTTTTTTAATATTTATTTTTTAGTTGTAGTTGGACACAGTATCTTTTATTTATTTATTTATTGATATGTGGTGCTAAGGATTGAACCCAGGGCCTTGCATGTGCTAGGCAAACACTCTACTGCTGAGCCACAACCCACAGCCCTAGAACCCTACTATCTCATTCCTCGGTATTTATCTAAAAAACTAAAATCAGCACACTGTAGTGTTACAGCCACATCAATGTACAAACATTGCTCATTCACAATGCCAAGTTATGGAACCAGCCCGCAATAAAGAATGAAATTATGGCATGGAGAACATCATGTGAAGTAAATAAGCCAGATACAGAGTCAAAAGTCAAATGTTTCATATGAATGGGGTGGCTAGATCAAATAAGGCATACAAGGGTGGGCAAATAGAAGAGAGCTGTGGAGCAAAGAAAGTGGATTGATGGGTGAAGGAGGAAAGGAGAGGAACAGTGAAATATGCTAGGCACGTAAGTACATATATGACTACATAATAGTGAATTTCATCTTTTATCTACCTATTTAGCATTAATTTAAAAAATTATAAGTAAATAGAAGAGAGACCATTAGAGTAGAGAAAAGGGAACAGAAAGAGGGAGGAGGGGAGACAAAGAGGACATACTTGTGACTATATTGGAGTAAATTATATTCCATACTTGTATGATTGTATCAAGATGAACTCCATTATTATGTATAACTGTAATGCACCAATAAGAATGTAAAGGTCAGGCGAGCATCGGAGGAAGAGACCACCAAGAGACTGTCTCATGCAACAGCAAAGGGTTTATTGGGGGTCCAGCATGCTAGGGCTCAGAGCTCACTTGAATAGAGCAAAGAGCCCTGAGAACAGCTTAAGCAGAGCTTATATACTTTCCTTGGAGAGGGCAGGGAGGGAAGTTACATTCTGCAGTTTGGCAGTTGGGGACAGCCCATTCTGGGAACAAGATTAGCAAACAGTTCTTAAGATTTCAACAGTGTTTTGTTAAGCATACAGAAAAACGGAGTGAAAAGTACCTATTTTATTAACCTTTCATTTCCCACTTCTTCTTCTGGCTACTTTTAATCATAAAAGTGATCATTGGGGGGTGTCACATTTTATGTCTGCTAGTGGGGTATATTGTTGTCTGATTACCATAAGTTTAACTTGTCTAATTTGAGCTTGGAGAAAAGAAATTACATGGTTGAGCAAACAGGGTCTTACAGTTAGCAATAATATGAGGATTATTAATGGACTGGCCAGGGCTGATAAAAGTGTAGTTAACTAGGGAGACTGTGTGAACCAAGACTCAAACCACCCTTTTTGTGTCTCTCTCTCTCTCGTTGATGCTCTTTAAGGCGTCTTTTTAATTTATTTATAGATTTTTTACAACTCCAGTATGGTTGGCATAAAAACAACATTTTTCCCTCAATGCAGCATAAAGGCTCTCTTCTCTCATGAAGAGGAGGTCCAACCCTCGCCTGTTCTGTAAAACAACTTTAGAGAGAGAGGTTAAAGATTCCTGCAAAGCTGTGATGGAGGTTTCTAATATCTTTAAGTTTTGGTCCATTGCTGCTTTTAATTGGGTCATTTGTTGTGTCCCATGGACGAGGGCAGTGGTTCCTGTGCTCACCCCTGCAGCAACTCCCATTCCTAATAGGATGGCTAAAGTGAGGGATACAGGTTCCCGGCGTAACCGGGTTGTATGCCCCCCTATTTGATCTTTAAATGAACCTGCGTCATGATAGAGCACTCTGGGAAACATCTGCACCATTATACAATTAATCACATCTGTTGACCATTTCATGAAAACATAAATAATGTTTAAGTATATAGAATTATACTGTTGTAGGGACGGACAAGGCAAGGCACCTAAGATAGCACCGAAGACAGGGAAACAGTCCTATTTGGTTGCAACCGGATTCAGAGGGCATTGCTTCTGTTGTAATCAATTAATCCCCTGAACCCCAAGTTTAGGTAGTTTCAGAATTTTTGTACTCAACATGTAAGGGAAGGGGCTCAGAAGTTCACAGTCTGCAGAAGTTCACAAAAAGTTCTGTTTTTTCCTCTGTTCTGGGCAAGTTAACTTTTCAAGGACACCTGGGAGGGGGAGAACTTTTTTTTTCCTTTCTTTTTTTCCCCTGCCAGCTGTTACCATGGAGCCCAGTTGATAACTTTTTTATCTTAGAAATGTAGCCATCTCTGTGAAGCCCCAGCTCAAGGCCAGAGGCCTTGTTCACATATTTTGTGAAAAACTAGTAAGGGGGTGTCTAGCTTAGGAGTGCTGATTTTTCCAACCAGTGGCCAAGTAGAACAGGAAAACATGAAAAGAGGAAGTTTATCTATACTGAACTCTTTTATAGGGACTCTTTTGCTGAAAGTCCTAAAGTCAGCCATGGTGAAGACTTCTGGAGAAGGTCAGTTAAGACTTTTCTGTGGGCCTGGTACAGAGGGGGAAGACGGGGAAAGTGGGGCTGAGAGCAGCTCCGTGGATCTGAGAATGAGGAAGGAGAGATGTAAAAGAATAATGGGAAAGGGGTTTGGGATTTTCCTAGCAACAAAAACTTGAGTAGTAGAACAGGTAGAGCAGAGGGGAAGACTGGAGTGAGTATCCCAAAAAGCCTGTGAGGGACTTTAAATTCTTAGTAACCTGTTTTCAGTGATGACAAAGCAACTTTAAAGGCCATTTTCATTACATTTTGGATAGGGGTCTGAGGGCTGTCCTCAGCTGGTTTGAGCTTTGGGTTAGCTGGTAAGAGGACCTGGTGGGACCCAATGTGGGCACTGACAGGAGAAGAGAGGAGTGAATGGGTGGAGGGGTACCTCAGTACCTGTTACCTCAGCAAGGGGGCAATGGCCTGAGAACCGGCGGAGGTTTGGGTTCCATCAGGTAGCCCCTGTATGTTCACATCCTTATGACTTACAGAAGAAGTCGGTTTTTCCCCTACACAGCCGTGACTGTGGCTTTGATAGTCCGCCAGGCAAACATAGTAATCTAGGTTAGCCAACCTGCATCTGGCTTGCGTGTCCCTACATCCATAATGTTTGTTTCCATTATCTATGGTACGGAAGGGATTTAATGGAATTTTAGTGGGATCCTCTTCATCAGGGATATCCCAATAGGAAAGACCTATAGCCAGCTGACAAATGTCTGGGTGGAGAGATTGCCACCAGGTCCCTTACTGGAGGAGGGGCACCATAGAGAATTTCATAGGGGGTGAGGTTACACAAAGAAACAGAGGGAGTATTTTTTTTTTTTGCACGAAACAGTGCATAAGGCAGGAGCATAGTCCAATCTTTTATGCCGGTCTCTAAGCTTAATTTCATTAAGGTCTCTTTAATGGTTCTATTCATTTTTTCTACCTGTCCTGAGCTCTGGGGTCTATAAGCATAATGTAACTTCTAATTAATCTCCAGGGTCCTGCTTAACCCCTGACTTACCTGGGCCACGAACTCCCGTCCATTATCAGACCCTATTACCTTAGGCAGGCTGTATCTTGGAAAAATATCTTCCAGGATCTTTTTGACCACCATTTGCGCCGTTTCTTTTTTTGTGGGGAAGGCTTCAATCCATCCTGAAAATGTATCTACAAAGATTAGGACATATTTAAGTCCATACCTTGCTGGCTTAATTTCAGTAAAGTCCATTTCCCAGAATTGTTTTGGTCTGGTTCCTCGTAGGTGCTTTCCTGCAGGAAGCTTGGAAGGGTAAGCTTTAACCAATTGACAGACCTGACAGGCTTTTGTTACCTGTTCAGCTATTTCTTTTCACTGTGAGTCGGTTAGTGGAAAACTCTGTTCTTGATCTTTCAGGAATGCCTGCAGTTTCTTTGAACCAAGGTGAGTGAGTTGATGTACATTTTTAACGTAGTGTAGGGCTTTCTGAAATTGCAGGCTGGGCTCAGTGAAATTGAGGAGTTCAGTGTCAGTGTCCTTAGATGTTAAGTTGTCGGGGTGCTCCGATGTAGTTAAATCTCCTGACTTATGTTCCCCCGGTGTGGAAAGTGTTAACATGGTTACTCTGTTTAGGGCTACCAATTTAGCCTCTTCATCTGCCCTCCTGTTCCCGACCGCTACGGGATCGTTTCCTTTCTGGTGTCCTGGACAGTGCACTATAGCTAGTTCTCTAGGGCTTTGCACTGCTGAGAGGAGGCGGAGGATCTCATCTCTGTTTTTTATTTCCTTTCCTGCCGAGGCTAATAGTCCCCTTTGCTGGTAGATAGCCCTGTGTATATGAGTGGTAGCGAAGGCATAGCGGCTATCTGTGTATATAGTGGCCTTTTTGCTTGCCGCTAGTTCTAATGCCTTTGTGAGGGCGATCAGCTCTGCCTTTTGAGTTGATGTTCCCTCCGGGAGGCTAGAGGACCAGATGACTTTAGTTCCGCTAACTATTGTTGCCCCAGCTCGCCGCTTATTGTCCTGGAGGAAGCCACTGCCATCAGTAAACCGTATGACCTCAGGGTGGGGCAGTGGCTGATCCTTTAAATCCCATCGTATACTGGTTTCTTCTGCCAGTATATGTTGACAGTCATGAGTGACGGGTCCTGATGATTGTTCAGGTAGTAGTGTAGCCGGGTTAAGCGGGGCGGGGGGTCCCAGCATTATTCTGTCCTTGTCAAGCAACAGGCTCTGATAGTGTGTTATTCTAGAGTTTGATAGCCATCTGTCTGGTGGCTGGCGGATGATGCTCTCTAGGGCATGGGGGGCTATAATGGTTAGCTTCTGCCCCAGGGTTAACTTATCAGCATCCTTGATTAGTAGGGCCGCCGCTGCTATAGCTTTTAGGCAATGGGGCCATCTATCAGCCACTGGGTCCAGCTTTTTAGATAAGTAGGCTATAGGATGCAAACCCAGGTATCCATAACCTGCAAAAGCCAGCAGTCCCAAGAAACTCTCTGAGTTGCCTCCTGTTAGATGGGGGTGGTATCTGCACAACGGTTTGTTTTCTGGGCTCAGTGAGCCATCGTTTACCGCCCCTAAGGGAATAGCCCAGGAAGATTACTTCTTGCTGGCAAATTTGGGCCTTTTTGGCAGAAGCTCTATACCCGAGTTGAGCAAGCTCGGATAATAGTGCTTGGGTCCCAGACTCACAGTTTTCCTTGGTGTCAGCTGCCAGTAGCAGGTCATCCACATATTGAAGCTGGGTGACTTCGGGGTGCGTAGTTCTGAAGTTGTTGAGATCTCTGTGGAGGGCTTCATCAAAGAGAGTGGGGGAGTTTTTGAACCCCTGTGGGAGTCTGGTCCAAGTTAGTTGATCAGACGTTCCGGTTTTTGGGTTTACCCACTTGAAAGCAAACAGCAACTGACTATCTTTATGCAGAGGCAAGCAAAAGAAAGCATCTTTTAAGTCCAGAATAGTATACCATTTTCGTTCAGGGTTCAGAGTGCTAAGCAGATTGTATGGATTAGGTACCATGGGGTGAATGTCCTGCACTCTGTTGTTGATCTCTCTTAGGTCTTGTATGGGGCGATAGTCCCCGGTTCCTGGCTTTTTTTTACTGGTAGCAGGGGAGTGTTCCAGGCCGATTGACAGGGCCTTAGGACCCCTAAGGCCAGATATTTCTGAATATGGGGCCTTATCCCATCTTTAGCTTCTTTGCTCAGAGGATATTGAAGGATTTAGAAATTTCATTTGGGGGCCTTTAGGGTTAAAAGTTATTTTGGCCTGGAGCTTGGTGAGCAGATCTTTGCCTATCAATGGGATTGGGCATTCTGGGATCACTAGGAAGGAATGATGGATTTTTCCTTTCCCCAGGTCTATGGTCCTCTTAGTTGTCCAAGCCCAATATTTACTGCCGTTAGCCCCTTGAAATAGAGACCTTTTATTTGATAGAGGGCCCAATGGGGCCTTAAGGGCTGAGTATACTGCCCCTGTATCCACTTCAAAGTTTACTGGGGTCCCCTCCACTTCAAAAGTTACCCTGAGCTCGGGGAGGGGATCTGAGCCCCGACTTTCTTAGTCATCCTCCAGAGTCAGAATGGCTGGCTGGCATGGCTGTCTCTTTTTAGGGCACTCTTTGGCCCAGTGTCTTTTTTTTTTTTTTTTTTACAGTAGGCACATTGATCTGAGGCCAGGGGTGGCTTTTGGCGTGGGCCCAGGTATTCCTTCCTGTCTCCCTGTTTCTTAATTTCTGGCCTATTTGCTGTTGTGACCAGGACCTTAGTCAACGACTTAGTCTGTCTTTTGCTTCTCTCATCCTCCCTTTGCTCCCTTCTCTTCCTCAGTTTCTCTCTTATAGTATATCTTCTCGGCTTCTCTGACTAAATCTCTCAAAGTCATATCTTGTAATCCATCTAAGTGTTGTAACTTTCTTTTACTATCCAGGGCAGCTTGCCCAATAAAGGCCATCGTGACAGATGCCTTTTGATCCTCTGCCTAAGGATCGAAAGGAGTATATCTCCTATATGCCTCCATAATTCTCTCTAGAAACATAGAGGGAGATTCATCAGGCCCTTGAATAATCTCTCTTACCTTGGCCAAATTAGTTGGTCACCTAGCGGCCGCTTGGAAACCCACTATTAGAGCCCAGCGATAAGTGGACAGATGCTTCCTACCTTCAAAGGTGTTGGGGTCCCAGTTGGGTCGGTTCAAGGGGAAGTCGGCTTCGATTATGTTGGGAAGTTGTGTTGGTCGCCCATCTGGTCCGAGGATATTTTTTCTAGCTTCCAGGAGGATTCTCTTTTGTTCCTCTGTCATGAAGAGAGTGCCTAGGAGTTGTTGGCAGTCATCCCAAGTAGGCTGGTGTGAAAACATCAATGACTCAATCAGACCTGTGAGCCGGGTGGGGTCCTCGGAAAAAGGGGGATTGTTATTTTTCCAGTTATATAGGTCTGAAGAGGAGAAAGGCCAATACTGGTAGGCTTGCATTTCTCCTCCATGGCCATCGTCTATCATTGGCCCGTAAGGACAGAGGGGGAGTATCACGGGGGCTTCAGGGTTTTTAATCATTCGCCGCCGGCGAGTTCCTTTAGCCAGGCCAGCTTCCTCCAGGGGAGGAGGGGCTGTGTGTGCCGCGGGGAAGTCATCTGGAGGGCGCTGGGCCTGCTCAGTTTCCTCCAATGGTGGAGAGGCTGAGTCAGCAGCAGGGGAATCACTTAGAGGGGGTTGGGGGTTGGGGGACGAGGGCAGGAGATAAGGAGGGGGAGGAGAGTCCAGTAGAGTCAAATCTTGAGACTCAGGGAGAACAGAGGGTGGTGGAGGAGGAGGAGCAGAGGGTTTGAGAGATAGAATTGTGGGGGAAGGAATAGGAGCGGGGGCAGGGACAAGGAAAGGCTTCACCCATGGAGGACGAAATTCGCAGAGGTCCTGCCAAGTTAAGATATACGGCTGTTGATCTGGATGGCTATGTGGCCCCAGCTGAAAGACAATATCTCTGACTTTTTGAATTAGTGGGGAGTAGAAAGATCCTCCTGGGGGCCATCCGACTCCAAAGGTGGGCCATTCTGAGGCACAGAGAGTCTGCCAGGTCCGGCGTTTTACTGAAAAAGAAAGATTCTGAGCCCTTAAGCGGACTTTGGTCCAGTGATCAAGGGTCAGGGACAGAGGCTTTGAAGTGCTCTGTCCCATAATGAAAGATACACAAACAGTGATAGCAAGGACACACGACACAGATAAGACAAGACAATAAAGACAGGCAATGGACCTCTAACACTGAGACTAGGACTGAGTAGCAGGCAAAACCCGATGGGCTGGCAATACTGAATCCGAAACAAAATATCACTGAGTCGAGGAGACTATTGTTCCTCGATTTCCCGAGTCCTCTGGGGCATCCCCCAGGGACTTGGCCTGTGGCTCTGTGACATGTCTGTTAGCCACCTTCGGAGAGAGCTCACACTCTTTACTGACAGCCACTTTGCCAGCCCTAACCTGAAACCAGAAACCTGAAACTTGGAACCAGAAACCTGAAACCTGGAACCAGAAACCAGAAACCTGGAACCTGAAACCTGACACCTGGAACCTGAAACCAGAAACCTGAAACCTGAAACCAGAAACCTGAAACCTGAAACCTGAAACCAGAAACCTGAAACCTGGAACCTGAAACCTGAAACCTGGAACCTGAAACCTGAAATCTGAAACCTGGAACCTGGAACCTGAAACCTGAAACCTGGAACCTGGAACCTGAAACCTGAAACCAGAAAGAGGTGCCTTACTTACCCCGAGAGGGGCCCGTTGGGGGTTTTTCATCCACCGCTGCCGGATCTCGCTGGGGCCTCCAAATGTAAAGGTCAGGCGAGCGTCGGAGGAAGAGACCACCAAGAGACTATCTCATGCAACAGCAAAGGGTTTATTGGGGGTCCAGCATGCTGGGGCTCAGAGCTCACTTGAATAGAGCAAAGAGCCCTGAGAACAGTTTAAGCAGAGCTTATATACATTCCTTGGAGAGGGCAGGGAGGGAAGTTACATTCTGCAGTTTGGCAGTTGGGGACAGCACATTCTGGGAACAAGATTAGCAAACAGTTCACAGTTGGGGACAGCACATTCTGGGAACAAGATTAGCAAACAGTTCTTAAGATTTCAACAGTGTTTTGTTAAGCATACAGAAAAACGGAATGACAAGTACCTATTTTATTAACCTTTCAAGAAAAAGGAAAGAAACTGAGATCTCTGAGTGAGATGTCCTGGGCTTGATGAGTACAGAATTTTTGCTATTTTGGGGATGCTGGGAGAATGTATTGACCAGGGACAGTGCCATCTGACCAAAGGTGTGGACATATGGTGATGGGAGGAATCAGAGCCTAGTGGCTCTCTCATGGAGGGTCTTGGGGTGAGGTGACAAAAGGTAAGTAAGACTGTCCCTTGCCCCTGAAGGAGCTGGGGAGAGATGAGAGGTTGTGAGCCTGGGTTTGGGTGAGAAACATTACTATCAGGAAGACTCATGATCAGAGTGGACACAGCCATTACCTATTCTCAGCCAGGCCTTGGTGCAGCTGTTCTGTCAGTGGGCAGATCAGCAGGTAGCAGATGTAGGGATATGCCAACTTCCTCCATTGAACCATCAAAGCACCAGCCCAGCAGGAAACATTTAATTGGCATTAATCACTCACCCACTGTTGGACAGTTGAAGGAACATTGATTTTTGGCACAGCCATAAAGTGGCAGTTGATTTGGGATGTCCTAAGTTCTGAGCCAGTTTGAGAGCCAGGGAGACCACTGGTCACTTGGAGTGGTTAACTGCTTATCAGGAGGGCTTGAGGAGAGGCAGCTGACAGTAAGAAGATGCTAAGGAGGATGGTCAGAAGGTTGGGCTTTTTGTTGTCCTTCATATGGGTTTTATTTCATTTAGGCCAGAAATTAAACAATAGGTGCAAAATAAATTAAGTTTAGGTCAGGAATGAAAAGGTAGGGGTTGTAACTTGAACTAATTTTTTTTGGTGGGGTGGGGCTCAGGTACTTCTTTCAGGGTATCAGTATTCTTGAGGAAATCTTGGCATAGGAGAATTTTAGAAAGAGTGGAAAGAGTTCTTGGTTTAGGGCTCCAGGGCATCATCTAGAGGATTCAGGTGTTCAGGAATCTCTGTCCCCAGGGAAGTAACTACATTTTTTGTCTCAGATCCATCAGGCATCTGTATTGGCTTTAAATTTCAATTCCTTGAATTGTAAGATGTGGATGTCAGCCCCTGTTCTGCCCACTCTGTGGTGCTGATGTGGGGATCTTGGGAAGTAACGATATTTTCCTTGAGCTGCAAAGCATCAAATCATGCAAAGGAAGGAGAGTTTATGTCTCTTCTTAAATAATTGTTATCTTTACAACATAACATAGGCCATATTAACATCTACATCCCCAAACAGAAGATTGAGGTATAGTGGGGTGTAGATGCCTTTCACAGGTATAGCTTCTAAGTAGAGTTTTATTCTAGGCTATGAGGCCCAGCCCCTGTGCACTGAGTAAATCTTCTCCACCTTTCTTTATGATCTCATCATAATAAGGCATTGTCTTTATAATCATTCAGTGAGGTTTTTAGTGTGCACCATCCTGAAGGATATTCCTGAACTCCAGCTCTCACTCAGATGGCTTTGATGTATGCACAGTGAAAAGGGAGATCAAAAATTTGGACTGAGAACACTCAAAATTCTCTCTTTTATTTTGAAATATAACATTGCATTATTGTGAACTATAGTCATTATACAATAAAACATCAGAAATTATTCCTAATATCTAATTGTGACATGAAACACATTCACCAACATATTCCCAGTCTCTGGTAGCTACTCTTTTCAACTTCTGAGATCAACATTTTTAGATTCTACATATGAGTGAGATTATTTTACTTAACATAATGTCCTTTAGGTACACCCTTGTTTTTGTAAAGGACAGGACTGGTCTCACCACAAAGTAACTTAATGACTATCATTGTACATTACATACATGTATAAAAATGTCACAGTGGACTCAGAGAAATGTACATGTTTTATGTGTACATTCAAAAAAAGTTGGAACTATGAAAAAATTACTAATTATCAATGGTTTTCTGCCAGTGAGATGTCAACATCTGTCTCTTACAATACATTTCCCAGGTTCTTGCCTCCCCACTAGAAGAATTGCTCCTCAGAGGTCAAGATAATCTACTGCCAACCCCACACAGTGGGTCACAAGTATCTGCCTTTGTCTGCACAATAGGGTGCACCCTGCAGAAGAATCGAATGAAGGTACTGTGCAAATTCAATCATTTCCTAAATTCAAGAATAATGAATATAGGTTTATTCAGTGTCCCATATTTAAGAGAAAACTTTAAAAGTACTATGCAGTATTCTTGCATTTTCTGTATGAAAATTTTAATTCATTAAGCAAATCAGGAGTTCTACAAGTACTCAGTAAAGATATATTTATATCTTAAAATTTGGTTCATTTGTAAAGACAAACAACATCTCAATGCAATATTTAAACATGTAGCCAAATTTTGAAAATTAGCTGCTATAGATCTCTTCCTGAAATAATGTCACCAGATTTTTTTAAAAATAGGATTTATTTGAAACAGTTTTAGGTTGACATACAAACTGAACAGACAGTATATAAAGTTCTCAACCCTACCCCAGTTTCCTTTTTAAAAAAATGCTTTTAGTTGTGCATTATAATTATGCATAATTGTTAGATTTGGTTTCCTTTTTTTAAACAACTTGCCATAGTGTTATTTATTTGTTTATTTACTGCAAGGACTGAACAAATGTTAGTAAATTATTCTTAACTACAGTCCAGAGTTTCATTATGATTCACTTAGTGTTACACAGTTCTATGGATTTGGATAAATGCATAATGTCATACATGCTAGTTACATGTAATTAATTTTCCTGTCATGAACATTCCCTTAACTTCACTTCTAAATCCCTCTCTTCTTTGCCCAGCATTTTTTCTGTCTCTATAGTTTTTTCCCCCAGAATTTCTTATAGTTTGAGTCATAGAGTATTCAGCTTTTTTCAGAATGACTTATTTCATTTTTTCAGTACACAATTAAGATTTTAAAATCTCTATAACTTTGTAACTGAAGGATTTTATTATTGAATAAAATTTCACTAGATACATGTAGTAGAATTTGTTGGTGCATTCACCTGTTACAGGGAATCTCATTTGCTTGCAGTTTGTGCAACTATAATTAAAGCTGCCATAAACATTCTCGTGCCCCCAACCTTTTTTATTTTTATTTTGAGACAGGGTCTCATTAAGTTCCTTACAGGCTTGATAAGTTGCTGAGGCTGGCTTTGCATTTGCAATTCTTTTGCTTCAGCCTCCTGAGTTGCTCGGATGACAGATGTAAATATCAACAGCAGGCCCTGTGTATGTTTTTGTGTGCATATATTTCTAAATTTTATATGAATGAACAGAATAATGGATTTCACTGTGGCATGTTTGTACATGAATATAACATACTTTGATCTATTCATCCCTTAACCCCCAGTTACCCACCCTTACCCTCTCCTTCTCCTTTCTGTGAGACCCTTCCATTTGTCTAATAGTCTCCCTTCTATTTTGATGGACAAAGATTTTTAATTTAATGGGCAAATACCTAAGATTATGATTACTAACTTGAATGATAAGATTATATATTTTTTTGTAGGAACTTGGCAGGCTTCGGAAGAGAATCCATCTGGGTCTGGTGCTTTCTTTTATGAAATGTTATTAGTTGATGATTTAAGTTCCTTAATAGATATTCGATGGTTCAAATTGTCTTTTTCCTTGAGTGAGTTTTTGGTTGTTTTTGCCATTGAAGAATTGGCCCATTTCATCAAAACTATCAAATTTGCGGGCAGAGAGTTGTTAAAAATATTGCTTCATTTTCCTTCTTCTATTGTTTATGGACTCACTAGTGATATCTTTTCTTTAATTTAATACTATTGGTTTATTGTGTATTTTCCTTTTTATGTGGGTATACTGGCTTGAGTTTTATAGAGTTTTTGGATTATTTTAAAGACCTAGATTTTAGGTATTCTGATTTTAGGTATTGATATTCTTTTTCCCTTACTATTTCCCAAAATAATTGTTATTTTTTCTTTTCTTCTGTTTTATATTACAGTGATTTCCCCCTCTGTTTTTGTAAGATGGGAACTTATTGATTTTAGGTCTACTGATTTTC